TATATATATATATATACATACATACACACACACATACAACTTTTATTTAATTATATGATTGTATGAAATTTATAAAAAACAAAAAATTTCTGAGAATTACCAGTATTAACTGCATTAAATTAATTTAATTTAATTCCTTTGAATTATTTTATTTTATGAAACTTACCTATTTATTTCTAACAAAACAACATAAATATTTCTCAAACATTACTTTTCAAACATAATGAATTCATTTTATTTGTATAATTTTTTATACAAATTAATTATTTGTATAAACTTTCACTTTCAGATAAAAAAGTGATCAGTTTTTCACGCTGCAGTGGTTCATCAAAAGACGTACACTATTCATATTTATCAACAAAATTCAGTCCCAAAACTGTGTGAGGTATGGACAAAAAGGCTAAATATATTTTACAAAAGTTTTTAGACACTAAAATAACTTCACTGATAAGTATTTTTGACACCTAATGGTGCTCCATACATACCCGGGTCAAAAATGACCCGAATATGAAACGTTATATTTCTTAAAAAATAATTGCAAAAAATCTGAAAAAAAAGAAATAAGTAAATGAGATGTTTTTTGAGGGTCTTAAAACACTCGCAAAGTTTCATTCCCTTACAAAAAAAACTATGCAGTTTCTAGAAATTAGTACGTATCTCTTCCAAGTCAAAATGAGGCGAGTGTTAATTCAGACCAGCTCCAGATATAAACTCAGCATGTAACAGCTAATAAAGAGGTGTGTTTCCATGTGTTTGTGTGCAGTGTTCGGCAAGCTGCGGCGCTGGCCTTCAGTCGCGTGAGGTCTTCTGCAGGTCAAAGGGCAAAGGTCGCGTCTCTGATGAGCTGTGTGACGCGCTCCTGCGTCCCGATCGCCTCCGCTCCTGCTTCCACACCGACTGCCAGACGCACAGCTGGTCAACACACGACTGGAAGGACGTGAGTAAAACACCATCGACTGATGTACTTCATTACACTAGAGCTGTTGCCTAGATGTCAGGACTTAAAGCTGAGATGCTGAAAAAGCACAGCTAAAATCAGCATGGTTAAACTGGGCTCCCACGTTTGTTTGTTTGTTACATTTGTTTTATTATTTTTGCTTTTATTTTGCTTTATTAATAGTGAATAAACACATAGTACTTAAGATACTTTTATACAATTTATTTATTTATTTTTATAAATAGCAAATGAGCGCATAGTTCTTATATACGAGATACTTTTATACAAAACAAATGCTAGTAAGAAATTCAAAATCAGAGAAACTAGAAAATGTATTTATTCATTTATTTATTTAAAATGTTATATTTTATTTTTAGTATAATTTTATTTATAGTAAATGACCACACGGTTCTTATACATATGATACTTTGATACAAATGCCAAATATAAGTTATGCTGCATGTCACAATCAAAGAAGGCGGTGTTTTATTTTATTATTTTATGTTATTTTGTTTTATTTATTTTATGTTATGTTATGTTATTTTATTATGTTTTATTTTATTTTATTATTTTATTTTATTTTCTAATAATAAGTCATAAGTTAAAATCAGAGAAAGCTTATTCTGTTTTTCATATCATTATCTATTTTATTTTATTTTGTCTTATTATTTTATTTATTTTTTATTTTATTTTCCAATAAGTCAAAGTCACAATCAGAGAAAGCTTAATCTTATTTTATTTTATTTTATTAATTTTTTTTCTTTTCTTTTCTTTTCTTTTCTTTTCTTTTCTTTTCTTTTCTTTTTTTCTTTTCTTTTCTTTTATTATTTTATTTGAAATGGATGGTAGTTCTTAAATATACAGGTAAAAAAATATTAGCACTACACAAAGCCTATTATTAGGGGGGGGGAAAAGCCAATAATACAGTATGTCATATGTCTCAAATAAAAAAAGCTGTAATCGTTTTTTTTTAATTTTATTATTTTTATTTTAGTTTAGTTTTAATTAATAGTAAATGAACACATAGTACATATACATAACAATTTTTAATACAAAAAATGGCAATACAATTATTTTATTTTATTTTATTTTATCAAGAATAAATGTCTCACCAAAATCAGAAAATAAATATTTTTTTTTAAATTAAGAAAAATAAAAAACAACAAAAAGCCTATATTAGCACTTTATGTTCATGCAAAAAATAAAAAAGCCAATAATATGTCATATGTCACAAATAGAAAAGGCTGTAATTGTTTTATTTTATTAGCAAATGAACACATTGTACTTATACGTAAGAGACTTTTTTACAAAAATCCCAAGTCACAATCAGAGAAAAATGAATTTTATTTTATTTTATTATATTATAATGATGAAGAATCAAGAATAAATGTCCTATTTCACCTCAAAATCTGAAGAATAATATTTTAAAAATTTGCATGATAAAAACAAAGCCTATTATTAGTACTCATTAATTCTCTGCTAAAACTCAGTGGGTCCTAAAGCAGGAATATTTCTTGATTTTGGTGTGCTTTGGGGCTGAACTCTGTGTTTATGGCTTCTTCTTCTTGTGTCTGAATGTAATCTGTGTGATTTGTGTCCCTCCGACTCTCCAAACGGTCAAATATGGTTGATGTTTATGAGCTGTACTGCCCCCTCTGCTGTAAATCATTTAGTAATAATTAATATTTCCCTGCCCACAACATTCACAACAAGTCATTTTATACGGAGAAAGTTATTCTGATTCGAGGGAAGATTAGTAAAGCAGTTGTGGCTTTGATGTGTGTGTGTGTCCAGTGTAGCGCGAGCTGTGGCCGCGGCGTGAGGTCCAGATCTGTGTTTTGTGTGGACGGCGGGATGAAGGCGGCTCCGGACAGCGTGTGTGACGCTTCTCTCAAACCCCACACACACGAGCCGTGTCACAGCGCCACCTGCCTGTACGTCTGGATCAGCACCGCATGGAGTCAGGTGCGTCTGCAGTCTCCTCACAGCTCCTCAGAGAACAATACTGACCTCATACACTATCACAGGGAGGAGCTGGATTGATGGAGCGACTGCTTTTCCTTCACTTTCTGCTCCAGTTCACATTACATAATAATAATAATATAATAAAACAAATAAATATTAAAATAATGAAATCCCTTTACTTGCTTCTCCAATTCACATAAAACAATAAATAAATAGATATTAAAATAAGGAAATTCCTCCACTTGCTTCTCTAATTCACTAAATAAATAAATAAATAAGTTCATTTACTAGCTGTTCTAATTCAAATAAAATAAAATAAAATAATAAATAAATAGTTATTTATTAAAGTAATAAAATACTGTCACTTGCTGATCCAATTAACACAATAAATAAATAAATACACACATAAATACATAAATAAATAAATTCCTTTACTAGCTGTTCCAATTCACATAAAACATAAATAAAACAATAAATAAATAAATATTAAAATAATAAAATTCCTCCACTTGCTTCTCTAATTCACTAAATAAATAAATAAATTCCTTTACTAGCTGTTCCAATTCACATAAAAATAAATGAAATAATAAATAAATAGATATTTATTAAAGGAAAGAAATTCCGTCACTTGCTGCACCAAATCACATAATTAATAAATGAATGAATAAATAAATAAGTCCCTTGACTTCCTGCTACAATTTACATAAATAAATAAATACATACATACTGAAATTCCTTCATTTGCTGGTCCAATTCACAAGAAAGAAAGAAAGAAAGAAAAAGAAAGAAAGGATGGAAGAAATTCACTTGCTCTTTCAATTCACATAATAAATAAATAAATATAAAAATAATGAAATTCCTTCCTTTCCACTACAATTCATATGCAAAAAAAAAAAAAAGTAATAATAATAATCATAATAATAAATATTTTTTTAAAGAATAATATATATTTTTTTTAATTATAAGAGCATTAGTGTTTGAAATTCATGGACGCTTTGTGTTTGCCTCCTAAACTCATGTTGAAACGTGAGTTTTCTCAGGTGATGAGAAACATAAATCCACATGTTAATGTTTGTAAGTGAATAATGAATGCATTCACGTTTTTATTCAGAAAATATATGGTTTTAACATTTTAAAAAGGTTTCTCCTGAAATAATTTTAGAATTCTTGTCGTATAGTAAGTTCAAAGACTCTATAATTGTCATTGCTATTATTTTTGTTATTGTTATTTACGTTTATTTGTGACCCTGGAGCACAAAACCAGTCATAACGGTCAATTTTTAAAAATAGGATAGAACAATATTTGGCTGAGATACAACTATTTGAAAATCTGGAATCTGAGGGTGCAAAAAAAATCTAAATATTGAGAAAATCATCTTTAAAGTTGTTCAAATGAAGTTCTTAGCAATGCATATTACTAATCAAAAATTAAGTTTTGATATATTTACGGTAGGACATTTACAAAATATCTTAATGGAACATGATCTTTACTTAATATCCTAATGATTTTTGGCATAAAAGAAAAATGTATAATTTTGACCCGTACAATGTATTGTTGGCTATTGCTACAAATATACCCCAGCGACTTAACACTGCTTTTGTGCTCCAGGGACACATATTATTATTTTGTGTATGCTGTCTTTTTAAGACATAATTGTTGAATTATTGTGAACACTATTTTGAAAGGATATTGATTGAATTGATATAGCCGCTGCTGCTGCCATGGCATTACAGTTTTTCTCGATTGCTTAAACACATTTCTTGAAATTGTGACTCCTTTTCTCAAAACTCTAAACACAAATCCATAACTTCGCCCTCAGACATGACACACAAGCCCTCAGAAACACACACATTACAACATAGTCTTACACACTAATGAGATCAATTCATAACACTGTTGCAAAAACCTTCTTTTGCCAATCAGGTATCATTTTACAGCTCAATGTCTATTACAGTATACAACATCATTAGAGCATATGCATGTTACAGTAAATATAGTAGATACAGTGAAATTCAACAATAAGCTTTACAGTAAGAAAAGATTATTTTCATTACACTGCTGTAAAGAGATCTTACAGTACAGTAGATGAAAAGCACTAGAAAGGAAAAGGTCAAATACCAAAGAATTGCATATGAACACAACAGAATATAGAGTCATCTCTTAGTTCTGCAAAAATACAGTACATGTAAGAAGTACTGTACTTGTGATTCTTCAGGTAGTTATATTGTGTGTTTGTGTTTTCTAAATGAGAACATGGTTAAACCTGTGCAAAATGATGCCATTCTTGTGTAGAGTTTAGCTGAAAACACTGAGCAAATTGGAGCGTGTGTGAAAAGGTGAAATGTGTTAACAGTTTTGAGAAACGTGTCTTTGTTTCAGGAACTGTATGAATGGTTTGGAAAATTGTGCCAAACTTATCAGTTATAGTGTGTTAGCAATTGAGAAAAACTGTAAATAAATGTAAAGTAACTGAATCTTAATGAGTGCTGTGTGTGTTTCAGTGCTCGGTGAGCTGTGGCTCTGGACTCCAGCGGAGGGTGCTGCACTGCTCTGCTGTGACCTCTGACCTGCAGACGTATTCACATGCATCTCCCTCCGACTGCATCGAGCGCCCGCCGGCTGACAGCAGGCCGTGTGTCCTGTCTGAGTGTCCGTCTGCGGGCCGCTGGAGCGCCGGGCCGTGGAGCCAGGTGTGTGTGTGTGTGTGAGTGTGAGTGTGAGTGTGTGTGTGTGTGGCCGCTTGAAATTGCAATTGCATTGATTATAAAATTATAAAAGTTACTTTTAAAAATAATGCATTACAATATTGAGTTACTCTCTAAAAAAGTAACTAATTGCATTACTTAGTTACTTTTTATGGAAAGTAATGCGTTACGTTTCTTTTGCATTACTTTTTCTCATCTGGCCTGGGCTTGCTTGTATGTTTTTAATATAAAAAAGTTATATATTTGGCATATGTAAAAGCCCTTTCACACCAAATGTGAAATGAATAAGCCTCAGGCTGAAGGAAATGTAAATTCAATTATTAACATGTTTAATTATAGCAGGTTTGCGTCATATCCTGAGTTTACATTTGACTGTTTTTCTTCATTTTGAGGAACACTGAATCTGTTTTTGTGCAGTGAGATGATTAAATACGTTCATATTTAGTCTAGATCTACAGTAAGATCATGTTCACACACAACGCTCTGCACGTACTCCTGATTTCTGTCACTACGGCAACACTAGAGCTGTCAGTCAATACATGAGAAACAAAGTAACTTGCGTTACTTATTTGAAAATGTAACTCAGATATTTTACTGTAAATTTAATACAAAACTTATTGAAAGTTGCATAAACTTAGCCACCATGTTAAGACTGTGTCTTAACGGCTTTCAAGCCGTGTAAAAGGTAACAAAAATGCCCCTGCTCAGTTAAACTAAATATGTTAAGACTATCGCGATCAAACTCAAATAATAAACATTTCAAAGCCAAAACGCAGCGCGGGTGTTTTTATATTAATGCATCTCTGAAGTGAACCGACTGCCTTCAGAGATACTTCAATGGCATTTTTATTTAATTTCACCAACGTATAATGTCTGATAAAGTAGTGTTTGTGAGCACAGCCGTTACCGGGAAACCGCTGTACGTTTTTACAGTTCCAAAAGAACCTCATATTGTAGCCTTTCAACTATTTTTTAAGAAATAAAGAAAAGGGATGAGGCAAAAGTGTAAAGAATTATTTAAAATACACACATCTTACTGTCTAAATTTTTTAGATTTTTGAAAGCACATTCGCTTTTTGTTCTGAACAAAAACAGCAGACGGGCTTATTGAAAATGCAAATTCATCCTCTTTCACCAGAGCCGCTGAGAAACAGCATAATTGTTTATACTTTGGACTTTATTTCTTAAAAATATTTTAAAGGCTGAAATGTGAGGTTTGTCACTTTATAAAACTCTCTCTATTTGTGAAAACCTGATATTGAACTGCAAATAATGTTTTTTGCATGCATTTTATGATTTAATTTGTTGCCATAGACATTGCCCAACCCCACTCATAGTCTTTATTTTATTTGATCAGGTCTTAAAAGATACCATGTAAATTCTTTCTTTCTTTTATAATTTATAAACTTTATGTTGGCTATTTATATTATGCAATGTTATATGCAATCCAGACCAGTGGTTTTTAATAGCACAATAACATCTGATTTAAAGTGAAGAACTCAAGTGTGTATGTGTTATGTAATTTACCACAGTTTAAAGTGCTGGAAAAGCTTGAAAGTGCTTGAACTTGAGTTTGTAAAAGGTGTAAGAACGCTGATGAAGACAAGCGCTGGTAATGATGTGCGGTGCAGTGAAGTGAGCTGGTTTTGTGTGTGCTGTTGCTAGTGCTCTCAGACGTGCGGCGCTGGAGTCATGCACAGGACGGTCCAGTGTCTCAGCGCTCAAAACCTCCCGTCTCAGAGCTGCCCGCTGTCCAGCCGGCCGGAGACACACGCCACCTGCAGACAGGCCGACTGTGAGTTCATGTTCAGGTTTTACGGGGAAATTCATAAAGTCATGGCATTAAATATTACACTGGTAAAATGGTAACACTTTACAATAAGTTAACATGAACTAACGATAAACAATACTTCTACAGCATTTATTAACCCTGCGATATTTAAAAAAAAAAAAGACAAATACAGAGTTCTGGCATGAAACTCTAGAAGGCGCAGTCCGATAGGTCTAACTCAGTCTGACCTAATGACATCATTATCACATGGCACAGCTGATTGGTTCTCTCCTGTATCGGTAGCCAATGAGCTCGCTGCTCATCATTCAAATATATGACTAGTGCTTGCCGTAGCAGTGCAGCTTGCTTCAGAAACCCTCCACCTTCCCCAGCTCCACCTGTATAGATCTGCTATGAGGTGATTCATGTATG